AAAACCTTGTGGATCAAAACCGGCAGTTTCATACAAGATTGGCTCTTGAACGATATCAAACCAGGTTTGGGAGTGATGCGCGGGGAGGGAGTGGGGATTATCGTGACAAAGCTCTCATGAACAGAACAAGACATGTTGCTTTCAAATAAAGGGGGAACTGGAGGAGAGAAGGAGGAGGAGGAGAAGGAGGAGAGAGGAAGGGCGAGTTGGTGGCAGTTTGCAGGTTCGGCGTGGCAAACGGGCAGGAAGATGGGCAAGCAGGGGGGCTGGGGAGGACTGGACACGGGGCAGGGGACGGGGTGGTGAAGGTGAGTGGTCTGAGACTGAAAATACTTGCCCTTCATTTTGATGTTTGGTACTGTGTGAATCCACCATAGAGAGAAAGCAAGAAAAACAACAAACAAAAAAACAACAAACAAAAAAAAAAGGGGTTGGGTGGAAAGGGGGAAGGGGGCACAAACAATATTTTATTCAATCGACGTTTGAATAAAAATATTGTGTATTATAATCATACCAAAAGGAAACCTCTTGCAAAAAACGACATGAAGAAAAGAAAACAAAAGAAAAACCCAATAACAAAAGGAAAAGAAAAGGCCACGGTGAAATAAGAACAAAAAAAATGCAAAGAGATAACTAGAGAAATATATAGATATATATTCAATACTCCAAAGGAAAATGAGAGTCAGTAGCAAACAGTTGCAACAGTCTTGATATCAAAATGTCCTCACTTGAGTCAGGGGGCATGCACGGCACGGCGGGCAGAGCTGGGGAGGATGGGAGAATCCCCCCTCCCAGGAATGGGGACAGCCTGGCCTCATCCCCACAGGGACACAGGACTCCTGCCCATGGATGGAGGGGGCGTCAGGGACCGAATCTGGAGCAGGGCAGGGGTCGAGCCACCAGGGTGGCCGAGGAGGACAAACAGGGGAACTGGAGTGGAGAGGGGAAGGGTCCAGTTCTCCCATGGGGAAGAGGGTCCCCGGGAGCAGCGTGGACCTGAGATGGGAAAAAGGCTTGGGGGTCAGGGGAGAGAGAAAGAGAGAGAAAGGGGAGGCCAGGCTAACACACACGTACACAGATTAATTCCAAACAAAAATCGAAACCAACCGAAACCGAACTCATAAAAAGAATAAATGGCTTAAAACCGAAACCAAAGTATCGTAGTAAACCAAAGGAAATTAAAGAGATCCATGCACTTTCCCAGCCTCACAAATCAACTGGCTGCTGCTACAGCATCATCCCTCATCCCCGGGAGGCGAACAGGCAGCACATCCCTGCCTGTGCCAGCAGTGCCTGCCTGCAGCCCAAGGCTGGGGTTTTGGGGTGCAAAGCACAAGGACCAAGCCCTGGCACCGAGGGGCACCCCAGCAGGCAGCTCGCTTTCCCTCTGTGCGCTCACCTCTACTCATGCCTCTCTTATTTTTAATTTTGCTCTTTTTTTGGCTCTCACAGCAATCCCTATCTCTTTTTGCGAGTCTTTGCTTTGTGTTCCTGCCCCCGACAGCCACAGGCTGGCATGGAGCAAGCAGGAGTGCGAGAGGTCGGCAGGGGAGCCAGGGGTTACTTACACTTCACTTGCAGGATCTGGTCACTGAGGTTCGCCTGGATGTAGTAGGTGCTGTAGGGAGGCAGAACCAGCCCCAGGCTGCAGAAGGGGAGAGCAGACAGGTGGTGTAAGGCTTTATGCCCACCCAGAGTACTTGGCTGGCCACCACTCCTTGCCCAGCACCCCCTGGCAGCACTTGGACCTGACCAATGGCAGGCAGCAGCCTCAGTGGCCTCCTGCACAGCCCACTGCATCTTTCTCTCCAGGAACTGCAACCAGCACTGTCTTAGGCCATCCAGGGTTATCCCCAGAACACCTAGGGTCATCCTGGTGGCATGCAGGGTCATCCCCAGATCATCCAGGGTCATCCTGAGGCATTCAAGGGTCATCCCCAGAGCATCTAGGGCTATCCTTAGAGCACATAGGGTCATCCTGGTGCACTCAGGGGCACCTTTGTAGCACACAGGACCATTCTGGTGGCGCCCAGGGTCACTCTCAGCACACCTTCTGCCATCCTGGGGTAGCCAGGTTCATTCCCAGAGCACTCAGGACCATTTCCAGAGCACCTAGGGTTATCCTGGAGGCACCTGGGGCCATCCTGGGGGTACCCACAAACACAGGAGGTGGCACACCTGCCCAACCAGGGCTGAGATTGGCAGGATGTGCCAGCTCAGGAATATGATATCCCTGTGAGGGAGGAAGGCAGGAAAAGACACAGCCCTCAAAAGAAGGGACAGCCTTCCCAGAGAGGAGAAACCAATGGCAACCATTACAAAGGCACCAGGAGCCAGGTGATTCAGGAAAGAGAGGGATCCACCAGCCAGGAGCCTGGCATGCAGGGTGTGGGATGGGCATTGGAAAGGAG